AGCGATAACAAAGTAAATTCTTATGAAACGCTCCAACAACAAGTACTCCTCGTTGCCAAGTATTTCGCATTGTCCTCTTTTATTTTTTAAAAGTTAATTTTCTTGCAAAAACTCGATGTAATGCACAACTAATACACGAAGCTTTCGCGAATTTTTTTCTCTTCGCGCTTTATTATCGCTATAAATAATCCGAGTGAATTTATAATCCTTTAGCAACTGCGATCGACCACACATATATATTCCCCGGGGAGTCTATATTTATAAAAATCAACTTTCTTAAAAAAAAAAAAAACTCGAGAATATAAAATTCTGAAAATAATAGCTGGAAGTAAATTTAGATTTTAATTTTAGATTTTAATTTTAGACTTTAATTCGGACTTTGTCTTGCAAAATAATAAAAAAATGGATCTCGTCCCCACGTGCGCGCGCGTTGCATTTAACCCTTCAATTTAATCGCTTGCAATAAACGAACTATTTTTCTCACAGACGTAGGAGGGTTTCGTATATACTATATTCTCCCCGCCAATGCAAATCCGTGAGATTTCGCCACTTGCCACCGGAAGATTAAAGCGGAATCTCCCAGTAATCGATCGCGTGCCATTCTCTATTTGCCTGCCACACTTTTCCCCTGCGGCAGCTGCAATTTCGAGAGTCTAACCGTAATCCATTGCAACTGCATTCCATTCTTCTTGGCTACTGCATTTGTAGCTCGAATTTACTTTCAGGAACAACGACGACGGACCGGGAAACGTTTGCCTTTCGTCCCGCAATAGTCTTCAAGAGTACTTGGAACTTGAGGAGTAGCGCCAAGCGCTTCTAATCCGTCCGAAATCCGCTTCAGACGCAATAAAGAGCGAACCTTATCCACGATAAAGCTTAGCGTTTGCCAATTGATAGCGAACGATAACGATAAGACAGATGGAGAGAAAAAAGAGAACCTCAATCGGTGAGAAATCGTCGTCGTAAACCGAAGGAACGCGTTAAATCACGCTTAAAGATTACACGTTCGGTAAGTTCGAGATAATATTTTTCCATGTCGTCAAATGTGCTATAATACTGTAAACGTCGGCGAGAACCCTTGAGAAGATCGTACTACACTACAAATCTATTTTTACGGTAAATAAAAAAAAGATATTCACCGTTTTTCTCTCTCATTTTCTCTCATTTTTCAAAGCATTGATAAATAGCAGAAACGGGGATAAATGTCATTGTCATTACGTTCATTGTATTCGGCAGAGAAAAGACATACATATAGGTATATACACAGTTTTATATTAAATATAGAATATTAAATTAAAAAAGTTAAATCATATAATATATAACATTGTGTATGTGTGTGTGTATGGCTATAAACGCAAATATTGTAAATCGACAAAGTCGAGATAGATAAAAGATGAAATATCGAATTAGTCTGATGTGCGCGAGTGCGTCACACAGTGATATAACATTAATAGATTGAATTAATATATTTTGTGCAATATACATATATATGATATATTTGAAACAGAGAGAAATTTTAAACATCGATAATCTGTGTGAAACAATAAATCGAGTTTCATAATAGCAATAAGGACTTATAGAATCCGTGGCAAGAAACATTTCGGGGTCATTCCAATAAGCGATAGAAAAATGAATTGCTACTATAAAAATCTAAACGATAGTTTAACAATAATCATTTCTCATTCAGCACTCTTAGAAATACTATATACTTAAAAAAGACTAGAAAATACATTGTATTACCAGAATATATATAAAAAATCTATTTATTAAACATTTGTATTAAATCTTTGTTCCTCTTTAAGATTTATATATGTTGGAAATATAAGATTTAATATAAAAAAAATGTACAAGTTAAAATTTTCGATAATTGTTCCGGAAGATTTTGCTTAAGCAACTTGAGGAAAAAGCTTGTTTTCCAAATATTATTAACATTTCATTATATTTGTATTCATTGAAAATTCCAGAATATAATTCGATTCATCCTCATGCGCAGTCATTCAGATTGAAAGTTCGCGTAATTTAAAATTCAAAGTTATTATTTAATATTCAAGGAGCTCTGCACGCTATGATCGTTTCTGTGGAAGGTCGATCCGAAAAGACAGGGATCTATCGGCAGATCTGACGGCAGATTAGACGGAAAAATAGGAATTATCGAAAATCGTTTAAGAATCCAACAATCGAGAAAGCGTTACAATGGCTGAAAGACCGGCAGTGACTGATAGCGAAAAAGTAGAAGAAATCGTGGCGGATAAGGCGCGAGAGGTCGTCATTTTGTCGGCGGAGACGCCGAGCGTCACCGAAGACGGAAGCGAAATTAAAAAACGGGTCAAGAGGAATATTATCACCGTGCCGGAACGCTTCGTCGAGATCGAGAGAGACGGAAGAAAGTATCGCCGCGATAGGAACGGCCGCTGGAGGTCCGTATTGTATTGATTAACGTTTCACACGGTTAGTTTGTTTGTTCTTTCTTTTCCTCTTTTTCTTTCGCCGCATCCGGCAGTCTTTAAACCTTTGATTGACGGTCCGCGAAATCCATGCACAAACGGTCTTTGAATGTTTGGGAATTTAATGAACTTTTGCCAACGTACTAGTCGAGTGGCTGTTAATAAATGATGGTTACTTCAAGTCTTCGAGATATCATCTGACATTCCGAAATGCTATTTAAAGTTTAAATAGTACGATTCAAGACGTTTCCACGTGCGCAAACAATATTTCAAACTTAAAATCATCATTTAAACTTCGAAGTTATTATTTAATATTTAAAAGAAAAACAGAAATTGTGAATATTGGTCATTTTATTTAAAAAATTTATATATATATATATAATAATAAATATTCAATTAATTTATGCATGCTATTTAATAACATCATTAGTTTCATGAGGATGCTTTTTCATTAATAATTATAAATTTTATTTAAAAAATTCATTATTTTATTCTCAAATTCTATCGTTAAGCAAACATTTTAAAAAATTGACAGATTTCATGTAGAGACTAACAAACATTTGTTGTCACTTTTTAAAAATGTGTGTACCTAATCTATTCATTTTGCGTCGCATTTTAAGAGATTAAATGTTGTATTTTGCCATAAAGTTACATTGTTATTAAAATGTTCAATTTGCCCGCACACAGATTTTTTATTCATGTAATTGTTTATTAAATCTATATAATAATAAGAAAATAAAAATTTAAAAGCCTCTTAAAAAGCTTTTTTTATTATTAAAAACATAGATAAATCAAATAATCAACCAAACTAGCCAAAAATCAATTTATTTAATTTTACATGTAAAATATTTAACAATAAGAAAATAAAAATTTAAAAGCCTTTTAAAAAGCTTTTTTTATGATTAAAAAGCATAGATAAATCAAATAATCAACCAAACACATGTGAAATTAAATAAATTAATTTTTGGCTAGTTTGGTTGATTATTTGATTTATCTATGCTTTTTAATCATAAAAAAAGCTTTTTAAAAGGCTTTTAAATTTTTATTTTCTTATTGTTATATAGATTCAATAAACAATCACATGAGTAAAAAATCTGTGTGCGGGCAATTGACTAGCGATTGGAAAGAATTACGTCTTTGATTAAAAAACATAGTTTAATTCAAAAGAATCGCTCTCATAAAAACTAAATTTCTTTTATTCGATATATCATATATGTGTCTTTAAAAAACTAATACGTTTATTCTAGAAAAATTAATTCTTGCATTAAAAACCACATGTTTTTTACCTTAAAAAATCAAATTTTTTGACCAGTTAAAATTTTTTTCCAGTCCTAAAGCTAGATTGGGCTAGTTTTAAAAACGATACTCTATTTGGTTACTAAAAGCAAAACTTTATTCAAGGCAAAAGTCAAATATTTGTCAGTCTGAAAAGCAAAATTTTATCGTCATAAAAGCTTTTTCTTGCACAATAGATTTTTTCGACAAAAGACCAGTCTTCTATATGAAAATGGCTATATAAATACAATTTATCTAACACTTTTAATATTTGAACAACAATAAGCAAAAAAAACTTTTTCATATAAATATTTTTAGATATATATACATAGTTAATGGTTTTGTCTCCTACAATCTTCGTATTTTTATAATTCTCTTTTTTTGTCTCTCTCTCTCTCTCTCTCTCTCTCTCTCTTTATGTTTGGTAATTTCGGATATTCACGCAATTTCGTAGACAAGATATTTTCTGTGAGCCTCATATATGCATATTTATAGATTTCACACGATGTTATTTGAAATGCAAAATGATACTTGGTTGTTACATTAACTTTAAATAAGACGTATTAAACGACGTATTAACTTTCATTGCTTCGATTATTGACTATTTATTAAAATAGCGGATTTCTTAATAAATTAAATTTTCGAAAATTTGTTAAATTTTTAATATCGCAGAACATAAAATAAAAAAATAAAGAAAAGAATAATCAAATAATATAACAATATAAACAAAAATACAAAATACAATTAGAATTAGAAAAACATTTTGCAAAAATATAAGAAGTTAAATAATTTGTATAAAAATTATATGTGTGGAAAATTTATATAAAATGAATATTTCGAAAACAAAAATATAATATAAAAATATTGCCTGTCTTACACTTTAAATTTATATTTATAAAAATATTGTTATTAATTATAAATTACTATGTATTGAGATTCATCCACAAAATAACTTTAAATTAAAAATATCGCGACACACAAATTATCATTAAAAATACATCTGTACAATTTAAAAATAGTATCTTTTTTCAAATATTTTATCCAGAAATAAAACTTAAATTAAAATTAGAATTTATTTCTCATCATCTCAAAATAAAGCAAGTTACACTTGTTTTGATAAATTCTTATCAAGGATTTACTTCACCTTTGACACGCTCCCGTGTAGATGAGACTCAACTTCTGTAGTGGAAATTATAAATCGTATAATTTTATCGATTCGTAGAATTCTCGAAGAAAAATTAATGAATCATTGCATAACGACATATATCTTTATAAATGATTGGCAAGTAGCGAGAATAAGTTGCGACGCAAAGCATTTCTGCTTTGCCAACAAAAGTATTTATACATTGTACGCGTCATTTGAGAAACTCTCATCGAGAGGAAACGTTCGGAACAGTTAATTTTATATTCGGCAGTGAATATCGAGAATGAGATTTTCGATTGCATTGTTAACCATCGCCGTGATGATACTGACCGTCATATCATCACCGCTACAGGACAGACGTCAAGGTTTTCGATTCGACTTACAAAGACCGAATCTAACGATATCTAAATCGAATCTAACGATATCAAAGGAACAATCAACAACAGCATCTACGTTCAATATTATAGCAGTACCAGAATTTGCGTGTCCAACTGGACAGCGACATGACTCGAAGGGAAGGTGTCGAACGATTCTTTAGAAAATTCAAAGGAGTAATCTTAAGAAAAGAGAAGTATACATGGTAAATTTATGTGGCACAACTTTTCGAGAATTATAAAAATTATTTATAAAATTTCGAATAAAATTATTGGCATAAGATATATAATTTTTAATACATTTTTATCAGATATTAAGTAGATATTTAAATCTGATATATTCTTATTAATCTAAATTTTCAACTTTCTTTTATAATACAAATAATTACTATAGAAATAAATAGTATAATTAGATATTTTAAATAATAGTAATATTTTAATAATTCAATAGCAAGAAATTGGTTTATTATTTTGCGTTCAATATCATTATAGGACTCCATTATCTTGAAATTAAATTAATTTAACACTCTTACATGTGCGATTTGCAAAGCAGAATTGTACATAACATTGATTTGTAAAATATAAATATATTCAAATTATAAAACTGTTCTAATTAATCCAAACGTCAAATAATTACTGCGCGCAATTTTTCTTCATTAAACGTTAAATAAATACTTGAAATAAAAACTTTAATATAAAAGAAATTAGACGAAAATTTAGGAAATTTCAAGATAATAATTTTCCAAAAAGCTTTTTACAAGTATATAAACTTTCACATAAAGTATGATAAAAATTAAAAACTAATTCTTGTATAAATAATGTAAAAAAATAAATTACAAAGCTAAATAACACTATATACATTTCTATCATAATATCAATAATTGAGAAATATTTTATTAATAAATAAATCGTTCAAATGATTTTAAATGAAATTGAAAACATTTGATCCGTGTTATAAGTCAGTGATGTAAAATAAATCATTACTGCTTAACATAGCGTTAATTAATTTTATAAGTAATAAAATGAAACAGTGTACATATTGCCTCTACTCCACGGTTGTTCCGTTGTCGCCTGACATATCCCGGGCCTCCTGCACCTCTCTCCTTCGTTTTTGATTGCTCTGTGGCTTTTCCATGGCACTCACATAACACTCACGCGCGAAAACATGGTTAATTATGATCGCGCGCGCACTAATCAACAGAATTAGTCTACGATGCGATGCACTTTGCATGTCACTGCCGACGTTAACCGCACGCGATGCGCACTTTATTATATTACATTATGCGACAGGAGAACAACACGAAACTATCATCAACTCGGCATTCGAGAATCGCACGATGAAATTTAGGCGTCACTCTCTCGTCGCGGTAATAATACATCTGTTACTAGCAAATGCTAAAAATAAATATAGAAAAGTTGAAAAAAACATGAGATAAAAATGTCCGCGATGTGTTCCAGTAAATATCATACATGTATTTAAAGAGATATGTTTAAAGAGATAAACGGCAATATTTTGAAAGTATAAAAAACTAGGTTTGTTGATTATTCACGGATTTTGATGCGATAAATCTCGCGGTGGTGCATTATTTGCGATGCGCGAACGACGAATTTGAATTTGCGCATTTTCATAAATATTAAAACATATATCAGATTAATGAAAACGACTGTGTTAACTCGACCCATATAAACACATCACGCAGCCAGTGGACCGGAATCGATCCGTTTTCGCATATCTGCGATGTGCTTCACCGATGACCGAAAAATTCTAAAATAGCACCGACAACGAACTAAACAAGACGAATTAATAACTAATTAACCAATGCAATGTATGTACATTGGATTATTCGATTCGTTGATTTATTCTGTTCTCGATTCAGTAATTGTGCGAGCAAATTATATCTGAATCGACAAAAGTTGAAAATGAGATATATGCGGGATATACATATATATGGTATATATATATATATATATATATACATATATTCTATAACCTAATTATTAAAGAAATATAATTATCCGTTATAGAATTGCTATCTCATCGTTTCGGTTTCTGTGTCGTATAAAAAAATCGCGCGCGAAATATTTATCTCGATAGATCGATTCGTAGATTCTTTGTTCGCGAGTCTAACTAACAGTGTTGTGTTTAGATGATTTTAAAATTAGCTAGAGGAAGATGAGATAAAAATATGTAAATTCATCTTAACTAAAATAAAGATGATTTTGTTTTAAATATATCTAGATAAAAGATAAAATTATATGGCAATTTATTTAGATAATTTTCATTAAACGCAGTTAAAAAAATGTAAATTATAAAAGAGATATAAAATATATTTATATTTTTATCGCTTACTGCTTAAACTCTACTACTAACATAAGTATTTTTTATGTGTGCTATGACTCTATAAATCAAATTGTCAGAACATTATTCCAGGCAGCAAGCGCACGTCATTTTGACGTTAATGGCGTCAGTTTGCTACTTAAGATTCTAGATAATTTAGTAAAGATAACACTTTTTTCCTAAGATGCAGCTATAGATAATACATATCTTTATTATTTATATAAAGATAAGATGGCGCCAAAATTTCATCTATATAATTTTATTTAGATAACAGCAAACACTGATCACTAATTGTAATTATTGTATAGGAAATGATGACGTTTCTCGAGAGAGAAGGATGATAGAAATAAAATCAAATGCGATGATAAAGAGAAAGAAGATAATACGGAGCGATTCGCGCTGCTACCTTCCCGCTCGACCTCGCGCGAGTGAATGAATGCGACGCAATCGTAACACACTATACGTCACAAGGTCGAAATGCCATATGACAACCTATCCACGCGGCATTTAACTAAAAATAAACTCGCGGAGTAATCTATTGTTATCGCATTTCTCACTGTTTTTGTTATTTTGAAATCACCGCGTGCGATCCTATACGATTTTGGTTATTATTTTTCCATTCATGCGTACGTAGAATCGAATGATTCGAGTCAACGGAAATCCATCGATATTATACCAGTTGTTTATTAATAATACATTTATTTCGCGAGATTTATGGAAAATAATTAAATTTAAATTAAACATTAAAAAGAGATCACGCGAACAATATTAACTTTGAATTGTATACTTTTAAACAATATACATCACATTTTTAATTAGCCAATTATATTGTAGTTTAATTTACTTAACGTCGCGCGATATCAGAATGCAATCATCGATGCTATTTTCAAATTTTTCGATCATTAACAAAACAGATGCAAATTGCTGGACGAATTGATTCCGATCGAACGGCTTCGCAATACGTTTAATTAACAAATACAATCCGTTATCAACCTATATTTTAATATTTAACATGTGTCACATAATATCGCCATTTATGTATACATCGTCATGGTTTATCGCTTATCTCGCGAGATATATTAAATCGAAATCTATCGTACAAATAATCAACATACCTAATCATATTTTCGAGTATTACACGGTGTTTATCAGATATCGCGTACATATATATATATATATATATATATATATATTGTTAATTTCAATCTGTATTTACCCACTTACGTTATAATGCAATACAAAATACGAGCGTATATTATTTGTTAAGGACAGACATATAATATTGCTGCAATAAATGACGTATAAATCTGGCAGTGCGATTTGCAAGCACCAAAAAAATCATAATTTTTCCAAATGATAAAGTGCACTTTATCATTTGGAAAATGTGCACATGGTGCGATTAAAATCGAAAATACAAAAGTGCGACACAATATCTATATGATTGATTATCAATCACCATTAATATTTTTCCGAGTGTCATGTGAGCATGTGTCCGTGAAACAGCTAAAGAATAATCATTCACGAGAAAAAAAATAAGAAAAAATCCAGAAAAACCTGTCAAACAACGGCGGAACAATTATGGGAGAGATAAGAAGTAATATTTAAATTATTTGTTATTTGAAAAATTTCTCGTTTTAAATATTTATTTTTAATTAATTAAAACATTTAATAAAATATTTATAGCAATTAATAATTTTATATAAATATAATAGGTGTATAAAATATTATTCAAAATTTATGATTATTTAAATTATTTATATAAAAATGAGAGAGAAGAAGATTGTTGCATATATTTATCATATATTATAAAAGTTCAAATAAAAAATTTTTTTATTAGATATAATTATTTTATTAGATATCTGTTCAAAAAATTGTTTATAATAATTTTTTTTAATATTAATTATTTTAGACGCTATTATAATTTGAATATATTTATATTTTTTAACAAATTAATATTTATGTATTATAATTTTGCATATTTAAAAGTTGAAAAATTCCTTTCGAGAGAATATCCTCTTTATAGAATTATACATATTAATCTTAATAATTGCATTAATTTAAATGTAAATTCAAATGTTTAACTTATAAACATGAATATCTCTGACATACACATTTGAGATAAAGTACCTTATTAGCGGAGATTTATGCTTCCTATGTAAATTTTTTGCCGGAAGTATTTAAAAAACACATTTTTCCTCTCTTATTTTTCGACGAAAAAAATGTATTTTTCCTCCTATTTCCTCCTCTTATTTATTCCATACGTTTAATTCCCCAATATGCATTTTTCCGGCTTATTAAAATACCTAATTACAGCAACGGAACAAAATTTACAGCACGTCAAAGGAAAAATATGAAAACATACAAAACTGTTGCACACGATTCAATTTTTATATCACTGAACAAAGATGTCAAGGACTTCACTGCTGTATTTATCTGTGCGCTACATTTTTCATATTCGTTTGCAGATTCGACATATGGGCGATGTCATCCGAAAGTGCGTACAAATGTCGGGATAAAATATCGTAACAATAGCGAATGTGGAAACGGTCAAATTGATTCGTCCGCTTTGCTATCAGAGGAAGCAGCTATTTCGCTACTCCAACGCGATTATTTATCTATATCGTTCATTTTGTATTATTGTTATTAATTTTGTTATCAATTTTGCAGCTATATAATCCCGATATATTATAACAAGAAATTTTTTCATTTCTTCATTTAATTTTTTTATGTTCTTTTTTTATTATATATGTAATATAAAGAAAATCATATACATGTATCTCAATAAAGACTAATAATAAATAAATAAAATCGACAGAGTTATGTTTTCTATATAAATTAAATATCCATGTAATTTAAAAAATAAAAATATTATGTGTAATAAATTAATAATAATACAAAGTTAACAAAATAAGCGGTTGTAGCTAATGTTATAAATATGAAATAAAAATACTTATATAGTTTATACATTTTTACACTTCTTTCATTATCTTTCTGTTTAAATTATTACTTGTTCGCCGAATATGTATAATTACCTATTTTCTATTGATCAATGAATGATGTTATTTTTAAAACATTCTTTCACTATATCGAAGATCGATTTTAGTCAGTGGTATCTAAGTATATAGCTTAGGATGTATAGCTCAGGACATAAAAAGAATATAGTGGCCAGATCGCGTGTAAGAAATCATAAAACATAGAAATATGCGAAATTGATCAAGTCCATTATTTATTAGTTTATTAGACTTGTACTACTTCTCACTCCTACTAAAGTTTTATAAGTATTTACACACGGAAAATTAAATGGAACACTAACATTGAGTACACATACCTCAGTTATACTGATATTAATAACTTCGATAGTAATGATGCGATCCAATATACTTCAATCTACATTTTTAACTTTAATTTTTATTACACTAAAACAAAGAAATACCTGCACCATCAGAAATACCCGAGTATAAATAAAAAACATACGATAGCGAAGAGGTAAAATATTTATCGGAATAAAAATGTATAATGCGCAGAATTTCAAAAACTTCGCAAAATATTCAACTTAATATTTATTTAATAATTGAGAAGAAAGAGCCGCTATATAAAGGTAAGTAAAATGCGCGGAATTGAAGATACAAAAGTTATCTGAACTTTAACTTTCATTTTTAGACAAAACCTATATTGTTATAAGATGAAGTTTTTTTGTCATTATTTTATTTACTTGCGACGATGACGTTAATCTTGGTACCCCTCAGAACCTGTCAAGAAAATGAGGATAAATATCTTATGCTTATGCCGTCGAAGAAGCTTAAGGTTATAGACGAGCCCAGAAGAACAACTGCAAAACCATGTCAGGAAGGCGAGAGACAAGATTCTAGAGGAAGATGTCGCAAACCTTTATAATGAGACAGAGGTAACTACCTTTTTGAGAAAAAATGTATTAAAAAGAATTGTCTACAGAAATAAAAATTAAACTCTGCTTTTATATTTTACACGCAATTTTCAAAAAATCAATGCACGAACGACAAATTTTTATCTAACAAGTTGTAGAAGTTAATAATAATGCAAAAACTTTTAATTTTAAAACTACTAATTTTAAAATAATGTAATAATTTTTTAAATTATCGTACGTATATTTTTATTAATAATCAGAAAAAGGATTAACTATGATTATTAATTAACCGCTAATAGTGTTGGCGCAGTCTTAAACTTTATAACTTTCAGTAAATTAGCTGTGACAATAATTACCGATATATAATTTTCAAACAAATTATTCCAGGTTAATATACAAAATAAAAGAAATAGTTTAACAATCTATATAGATATTGAATTGATAATATTCTACTTAATTTTTAAATACAAATTTCTCCTGTGTGGTTTCTTTCATCTCCGAAAATTATATGTTCTGATTTGCGACAGATTCCTTCCTAAAGTACGACATGTGTATTTTATGTCTGTTTGCAGACTAACATTTCAGCAATATCAGCTGAAAGCTAGAAGCGAGGTGGAATTCCAAAATATCGTAGTAACGATAGAACGACGAAAATACTCTATGTGTCAACAAAATTTCAATAAATTCACATTATACAATTAATGTTATTTGTATTGTATATGCATTCACGGCCACGAATTATATATAAATGCAATTAATTACACAATGACGTCAATCTGATTCCTGCCCACCAAAATTATATATAAAATAAAATCGAACATCTTTGTGACAGTAAAATTATATTTGCATATACTTTCAAAGGCCGGCACATATGTTATTATACATTAAATTTAATTCCAGTAATCGCGTTCTCGCGTTTAATAACGATGACATTACATATAATATGCATAAATCTTAAACAATTAGCGATTGTGGAACCTTATTAAAAATCGTTTTATAATCAATTCAAAAGTAATTTAATGATTGTAAATTCTTCAGAGATCATTTGTTTATGTTATTCGTAAAATATTTCATTAGAATTTTTTAACATAAACTTTCAAAATAAACAAAAAATTAATTTATTTAAACATTTAAACATTATCAGATAGATAGATGAGAAAAATAATTATCTTTATATGCGACTAAAATCTTATAAAATGACTAATATAAATTTTCATTTACTTAGAAGAAATTAATCACTATTTTTCCTTATTTAATTAAAAGAAAAAACAACTTAAACAGGTTTTTTCACATAATTATTCATGCTGCATAATCACATATGTGCAATATAAATAGTGAACATCAAATAGAGAAACTGCAAAACACGTGTGGAGTTCAAATAATCGCAATATTGAGAAGACCGAAATTATAGAAAGAGGGAAAAAATTGTGGTAATTATACAAACAGTGAAAAAATTAAAATGAAATATTACAGAAAAAGTGTGTTAAAAAATCAAAGAATAAAACTATTAAGAGAACAAAGTCGAAATTAAATTGTAAGCATTATAACAGTACAGAATGATTAGGAGAGAGATAAGTCTATAACACATCAAATAATAAAGGAAATTAAAAAGATAAATAAAAAGAGAAACAACTTTACATGGAATTTTTCTAAAATTTTTAAATAAATTTCCTTTTACAGATTAACTTTCATAAATCACGTGAAGATTACTTTTACAACATAATGAAAATATTCTTTAACGTTTATCTGATAATGGCACTAATGGCTATTATGATTTCATCGGTGATCTGTCAACGATACAATCCTAATAAGGTATGTCATCTTTTCTCATAACGACACGTGCAAAGCATCATCAATTTTAAATTATTTTTATTTTAATCCTATTTGTGATAAAACATCAAACTTTTATCATGGGATTAATAAATAAGAAATTAGGAATAATAATATCTACATCGTATAAAATTGAGAGAGAGAAATATTCTAATTTTTACAAATTACAATTTACATATTGCAAAGCTTTACCCGAAAGATTGTCGGGGAGATGCCGAGAATGTCAGAAAGTATGTTGCATGTCCTTTAATGATGATTATGTGTGAAGATACATTTGATATGCATCTTGGTAATCATCATTAAAGTTCTGTATTTTAATCTTAATTGCGATAGATAAGAGATCAAGCTTTATTATGTGTCAAATTAAAATAATAAATTATAATATATATATATATATATATATATAGAAAAAATATATACATATATATCTATATACTGAGAGAAAGAGAAAAATGTATGCATATTGTGTGTAACATTTAAATATTGTATAAACTATTCTTAAAAAAATTAGTAGCAAAAACATTATAAATATTAAAATTGTAAACAGTAAATTGTATACATCTTTTATAATGTTCTAAATATTCTACATTATTCAATTATGAATTTAAAGTAGTCTCTATAGTAATTTCTATTTAAAAATTTTTTGAAAATTTATATGTACCATGATTACATATTATAAATATGTATTTAATAATTTATAAAAATTAGTGAGAGAAAGAGAGCGAGAGAGAGAGAGAGAGAGAAAGAGAGAGAAAAATATTTCACAGTTTACATTTCTCCTTTTATTTAATTTTTCTCTATTTATTTGCAGCTACATAATACTCAGAACCAAGGGCGCGGCTATAGAGAAATCGAACTGACTGATTAGCAAATATGCAAAATGCAGATACTGCAGATTTACAAATATATTCAAATATATAAAATCAATTGCTAATTCAAGAATTATTTAATAATCTAATGAAAAAGACGAACTAATTTGAGAGTTATGAATTAACAAAATAATATTTAGAAAAAATAAAGTTTAATTTTCTCTTGCTAATACCAGATGTTGTTTTGTGTGTGTAAAAGTCCTTTAAATATTCCATAATAAATAAATTAATTCAATCTCATTTGGAGCCAACAAAATTATGCCAACAATTAGACATGCCAACAAGACTTAACAGAGTTCATAGAACAAAAAACTGACTATAATAGCGACACAATCGTGACAAAGATATTACGAAAGAATAAAATCAAAAAATAAACTGCCATTTAAAAAAAAAACCTGCAGTATTGAGAAAAAAACAGCTAAAAATTCATAAATATTATAAACAATCATGTTTAACAATTAAGAAATAAAAACATTAGTACATCCAAAATAAAAACATTTATAATATATCTGAAAAAAGAATTTAAAAAAAGAGAAATTTATATGTAAAAGTTAATCTATATAAGAATTTAATTTATATAAATCTACACAAGAATTTCGAAAGAGATTTAAAAATTATATAAAAATTATATTTGCGATTGAATTTTGTGAATCGGAAATAAAATGCTCTCGCAGGGGATGAAAACATTTAAACTTAACATGAATATATTACCCTGTAAAAACTGAGATATTGCTACAACCGGATACATATACTATTGTAGAGACTGACAATGAGAGATACACTACAACCGAATATACTACTGTGAAAACTGATCCACTATTCTGCCATCGATATACTCTTGTTCCGGATGCTTTCACATAGATTTTTTCACGAGGTCTTTTTGCCCACCAGGTCAAAAGTGAACATTCATGGAAAATATCGCAAACCATTTTAACGGCGGAAACGTGCAAGTAACTACATTTACCAATATAAATGTCAATGTCAATCTTAAATAAGATAGAATGACATAAAATTGGCAATTCTTATATAATTCGAAAATCTTTGAATAACCCAATAAAAATCATGAATTAATTTAAAAAGTATAAATTAAAATAGCATAAGTCAATTTTCATATTAATATCAATTATTTTATAGATTATTCATATTATAATTGATTGATTAATTCAATATTTAAATCTAATTTTTTGGAAATTATTCTCCTTTGATGTTATTAGCATTTTATGATTGTCATCTGATCACAATAACTAAGAAAGCAATTTCTCAAACATTTTGAAATATATGCAAATCAAATTATAAAAAGTATAAAATTATATGTAAAGTATAAATATGATATGAATTTAATCTTCATTTACGATTGAATACTAGCTATCTTCACTTCCTTCTAGCTTGCTTATTAAAAGATATATCAGTTTATTAACTCAATTTTAATTTAAATTTAATAGTAAATGAAATAATGTATCATAATGAAAAAAAACGAATTATAAAACATATTAAAAGATAAACTAAATTATAAATACTAAATATAAAATAAAGAAATTGCAATATATTTTGCTCCAAAAGGAATTAATCGCGCTGAGAAGACTCGAATTTACAAAAAAGATAAGAAAAATTAAAGAAAAAATTATAAATCGCGAAGATTAAAATAATGTTAAAAAAGCGAAAAAATTGCGTTACTTCGAAAAATCAAAAAGTGCTCAGAATAAAAAGCTAAAGCTATCAAGAAGGTACAAGCATTATAAGCAACTGTGCATAATAATTAAAAGATAATTTATATAGTATTATACTTGAACAAACTAAAGGAATGAGAAATTTATATGTAATTTACTTTTTAAAATTGCAAAAGAATACGAGAAAAACTCGATGCAACTTATATTTGAGATTGAATCTTGCTTTTTTTCCCTTCCTTTTCAGATTGCGAAGAACTCAGTAAAGAATTCTCGCTTCTCTTACAGCACCATAAAAGTATTTCTTACTGTTTTTCCGATAATCACGCTAATGGCAATGATACCATCGAGAATATGCGAATAAGATCACCGCATCTAGTACCACTGAAATTACTATCGCTGTAATTACTACTGTAGAAATTACTGCTGAAACACAGTCCCCGCTGCAACTACTATTCCTATTTCATTCGAATAACTCTGTCTTTCCGTCGCGCATGTGACACTAGAAATGCTTCCGAGATCTGGGAAGAGAAAACAAACTCACGGACAATGTCGCACGTAGACAACGAAAATATGCAAGTAATTATCAAGTTATTATACATGCCGAATCTTATTACTAACTGCGAGAACTGGCATAAAACTTTCATTAAGATTAATAAGTTGTATTTACATTCATACATACATATATATGTAGAATAATTACAATCAGAAAGAGATTATTTACGCGTATGTTGCACAAAAGCTAATTCCAATAACTGAGATATGTGTAAATATGTTAATTTATTTTAATTAATTTAAATTGTTGAAAATATATTTCCATGTCGTGTTTATTTTTTATGCTTTTCTTAATCATTACGTATTAATATTCAAAAAATATATTACTGCAATGGCAATTACTTAGAAACAAAGCTTTGAAATGTGATGTATAGATGGTAATATGATTAATAATTTTTTTTTAAGAATACGTCACTAGATTTTGACATTAGCAGTTAAAAATATTGATTATAACAATTTTTATAATTCAAAAATTGTTGAGTAATAACCAATTAATATGATTGGTTAATTTTAAAAATATGAAATAATGTAGTAGCTTACATATAGAAGCTTTACATATAGAAAAAACAAATATCAGAGTTTATATTTGTCGCAATTGTTGCGTAGATTCTTCAAATAAATCAAACAAATCAATTCAATCTATACATTCATTTTTTTTTTATACTATCGTATCTGATATTAAAGTTTTTATTTCTATTGTGATGAGAACGCGCGATGTAATCTATATAAAATCGAAGAAAGAGAGAAAGAGATTATGGAATGATAGTAGATAACAGCACATCTATATCCTTACTTTAATCTTATATCTTTTACGAAAACAAAGTCTTACTATTACAACTGTCTCCAATTAAAAAGACATCATTAAATATTCTCAAAATATCTACAAGCAGCGTGCTTTGAAAATCTAAACATTCCATAATGCAACATTTCTTCGAAGTGGTATAGGGATATTTTCTTGCAAATATTGGGACATTAACTTGTTTGCGAAAATTTAGCAACGATGAAATTCCATCATAACCGCAATAGCAACAAAAAATAACAGAAATATTTTGTATATTAATATTTTGATGTATATTAATAAATTTATGTATTTATGTTTTTTATCATTAAATTGAATTATTTACATATATATTGTACTTATCATAAATAGTTCTCAATCTTGCCATTTATAATACCGTTTCTTACTGTTGTTATGGATAAATATAGTAAATATTATTTTTGTATATACTCAGCATCGCATTATTTATGTATTCCCGTATTTTCAAATTATAGCTTACATTTGTATTCATTTGTCTAAGATTGCTGTAAGCTTTTCTCCGACTTCTCGAGACTACACTTATTTAACGTATATCATGTAAGTAATCTTTTCAAATCAGAGAAATGTGCTAAAAAAAGGCAAAACCCTCTTAAAATAATTGTTTCACGCTATCAAAGTAAAAAAAAAACAGTTAAAAATTCTTTTCTAATTTTTATAATATTACTGAATCATTCGTCTAAATATATATTTTTGTTACACATCTAAAAATATATATAATAGTTTCGCAAACATTATAAATTAACAAAATATATATCAATTAACATAACATTATTAATTCGTATATATTTCGTCGTTATAATATTAACATTCGTTAAATATTAAATATTATATCGTAGACATCAGAATTTTGATGCGGGATTTCTCATGTAAAAAAAGATACGCAAATATAACTTTAAATCGTTATATTTTCTAACTGGTTCCTTGCAAAAAATAATGAATTCGCATATATAATTAAGAGAACAGAGTATAAATAGAAAATACGACAAAGAGGGAGTACTTAGTACGTTTGTTTCTCGTATAAAGTATACGTTTCAGTATAATCAAACATCGGTTTATAAAAACAAGCAAAGAATTGTGGTAAGTTTAAATTCGTAAGTAACAAAAACAGTATTTTGCAGAAAAGTAAAAAGAGAATTTATACGCAGAATTTATACTAGAAAATTTCGAAATAATTAAAACTTTTTGAATACATTTCCTTTTGTAGATTAATTTTGTATTCTGTACATTGCGTGAAGATTACATTTACAGCACGATGAAAATATTTCCTAATATTTTCTTGATAATTGTGCTAATGGCTATCATGATATCATCGGGGATCTGCCAACGCAGACGCGTTCCTCAGAGATATCAATATTCTCGTTTCAATAATAATAAGGTATGTCATCTTTTCTCATAACGACACGTGCAAAGCATCATCAATTTTAAATTATTTCTATTTTAATCCTATTTGTGATAAAACATCAAACTTTTAGCATGGGATTATGAATAAGAAATTAGGAATAATAATATCTATATTCGTATAGAATTGCAAGAAAGAGAGAGAGAGATATTCTAATTTTTAAAAATTACAATTTACATATTCTTTCCTGCATTGATTTTCTGTACTTATTTTCAGGTTTATATTACCTCGACAGATTTGAATACACGCTCGAATACAAGATATCGGGGCTAATCGCAGATTCACAAATATATTCAGATATATCACGAGATCAAACTCACTAATTCAATAATTTAATGGAAAAGCGACGAACTAATTTGAGAAATATATGAAATAATAAAATTCTTTTTTACAAAAAATAAATATTAATTTTCTTATCAATGCTGTTGTTGTTTGTTTTATAAAAATCCTACACAAATATATATATTCAATAATAAATAAATAAATTCAATCTTTAAATCTAATTTTTCAAGCATTATTCTATCTGTATCATTCTATTAATATGCTTAACCGCCTAAAGAATATCTGTTTATCATACTTTTCTTTAATTATATAATAGTTTTGTAACCATTATAAATTTAAAAAAAGTATATTATATGTAAATTGATAATAATTATTTTAACGTTCGTTAAATATTATATTATATTATATATCAATCAGCAATAATTTTGATGCTTATGTAAAAAAAAGATATGTTAGTATAGATGGAGTTTCAAATAGTATTCCGTTATATATAAACTTGTTTTCTTAAATAATACACAATTAGCATAATGTTATCAAGAGGCTAAGAGACTATAATAATAACTGCGTAGCAAAAATATGACAGTACAAACTTGTCTTCTAAAAGGATAAGATGCACCAATATAATAAAACATCAATTTATTAAAAAAAACAAAAAAAAACAGAAAGAATTGTAATAAGTTCAAGTGGTAATATAAAGAAAGTATTTGTTACATCGCGCGTGAAAATTACTTTTACAGCACAATGAAAATATTTCTTAATATTTTCTTGATAATTGCGCTAATGGCTATTATGATATCATCGGGGATCTGCCAACGCAGACAAGTTCCTGAGAAATTTCAAAATTCTTCCTCTCCTATCAATGATATTAAGGTATGTATGTCATCTTCTCTCATAAAGACACGTGCAAATATAATCATCAATTTTAAATTATTTCTATTTTAATCCTATTTGTGATACAACATCAAACTTTTAGCATGGGATTATGAATAAGAAATTAGGAATAATAATATCTATATTCGTATAGGACTGAGAGAGAGAGAGAGAGAGAGAGAGAGAGAGAGAGAGAGAGAGAATATATTCAGATATATCACGAGATCAAACTCACTAATTAATAATTTTGGAAAAAAATAATTTTTATTAATTTCACATATATTTTCTTATCAATGCTGTTGTTGTTTGCTTATTTCATTATATTATTGAATTTGTTCTCTGCTTCCTTCCTGACGATGCTTAACCGTCTAAAGAATAGTTTATCATACTCCGATAGGTAACCGGATATGTTTGAATAATTATTTTAACGGAGAATTATATTAATTTATTTGCGGATTGCTTATGTAAAAGATGTTAGTATAGATTTTCAAATAGTACCGATATATCTTTTATTTTTTGTTTTCTATTAATAACTTTTGCAGCAAACTTGTCTTCTAAAAGAATGACCCATCAATTTATTCGAAACGTTTAGAAGTTAATAAAAGAGTTTGACTTGAAATCTCATTTTAATTTTATTAATTTGTGCATGTCATCCGCACAGGCTCCGATTGCCGTCGAGATTTTATTTTTATTGATAACATCAATAATTTGAGCCGAGATTAACAGTTTTTTTAAATTTACATATTCTTTTCTGCATTGATTTTCTGTATTTATTTTCAGATTTATAACATGAGTGGAAAATGAATGTAAGATATCGAGACTAAACGCACATTCACAAATATATTCAAATATGGTCAAACTCACAAATTCAATAATCCAATGAAAAAGCGACGAACTAATTTAAGAAATATATGTGAAATAATAAAATCATTTTTTACAAAAAATAAATATTAATTTTCTTATTAAAGTTGTTGTTATTTGTTTTATAAAAATCCTACACACAAATATATATATATATATACCCAGATAGCCACAGTAATTATTATAACATCATTTTGATGTCAAAATGCATCATTTTTTATAAAATTTATATATATATACATATATATAAATTAATAATTATTATTTGTTTAACGTTCGTTAAATATTGTATTAAATCTTAACCAGCAATAATTTTGATGCTTGTGTAAAAAAAGATATGTTAATATATACGGATGCCCAACGTCCGGCCCGCAAGCATATTCTAAAATATTAAAATTTTGAAATATTAATTAAATAGAATACCTCGTAGTAGTGCATATAATTTTTTTTATAAGTACTGCTAAATCAAGCCCGCCCAAAACCCGTCTCGCAAGCTAAAGTTCTGCGATCTCTCTATCGTCTAGTTGGGCATCCGTGGTATATACCTTTCAATCAGTAATATTTCTTTAAACCGGTTTTCTTAAATAAAAAATCATGATGTCATCAAGAGAGTAGGCTATAAGAGTAACTGCGTAGCAAAAATATGATAATACGTATTCGTCTTGTAAAAAGGTAAATCAATATAATAAAACATCAATTTATGAAAAAAAAAACAGAAAGAATTGTCATAAGTTCAAGTGGTAATATAAAGAAAATATTTTATTACATTGCGTGTAAAGATTACTTTTATAGCACGATAAAAATATTTAATATTTTTCTGATAATTCCGCTAATGGCAATTATGATATCATCGGGAATATGCAGACATACCGTCCAGAGATTGCAAGCAAATTATTGTGCAAAATGTAATTTCAAGAATTATAAGGTATGTTTTATAACAGTATAACTAATCATTAATTTAATATATATACATATATATTTTAATCTTAATTAGCGACAGATAAAACATCATCATTTTTACCATGTCAAATAATAATTCATAATGTATGTATATATATATATATATACACACACACAATATATATATATATATATATATAATTGCGAGAAGAGAGAGAGAGAGAGAGAGAGAGAGAGAGAGAGAGAATATTCTACCTTTTTAAATTATAATTTATAAAATATTCTTTCTTGCTTTAATTTTTTTATATTTGTAGGTCAACAATTTTCAAAAAGGTAGAGGATAAATATTCCCTCAAACTGGCTAGTTACAGATATACAAATATACGTATATATTCAATATCATGAGATAAACCAATGAAAAAGTGACGACCTAATTTGAGAAATAACAGAATTATACTTTACAAAAAATATTTTTTAATTTTTTCGTCAATACTGTTGTTGCTTATTTTGTAAAATTCTTTCAATATTCTATAATAAATAAATTAATTCAATCTTTAGATTCAATTTTTCAGAAATCATTCTATCTTGATTCTATTTAATATGTTTAATCGCCTAAGGTCTAAAGAATTTATATATATTTTCATCACACATTTTTATCTAATATATGTAATAGCTTTGCAATTAAATTAATGAGATACATATATATATATATATATATATATATATATAAATTAACAATAATCATTTATTTAATGTTCGTTGAATATTATATTTTAAATATCGTAATATATTTTGATGCTTCTATAAGAGAAGATGCACTAGTCTTTAAACCGGTGGAAAACTTGTAACCGGTTTGTCTGAATAATAATAATAATAATAATAATATATAATCAAGAGAACAGAATATAAATAATAAATGCGTACTAGAAAGAGGATAGTATATGTTTGTCTTCCAAAAGTATAAGGTGCATCAATATAATAAGACACCAGTTTTCGAAAAAAAGCAAGAAAAATTTTTGGTGAGTTCAAATGGCAATAAAAAAAAACTTTGTGGGAAAATAAAAATAAAAAGAATAATAATCACACACACACACACACAAATTAAGAATGAAATAAGAGAGAAGTTGTTTAAATAAAAGGAAATTGTGTAGTATTATAAATATATAAGTATTTTAAATATAGGAAAGAATAAAAAATACAAATAACTGTAAAAAATATAAAAAAATTAGAAAAGATAAAAAACAAAAATTTACAAATTTATCAAGTTTATTTTAAAAAAATTAAACGAACGCAGAATGATATTTAATGTTATTTATCCTCTACAGTATTTCGAAAGATCGTGAAGAACATTCTTTTCAGATCACTATGAAAATAATATTCCTTACTGTTCTCCTGGTAATCACAATAATAAAATGAGCATTGCGATAGCACCTGATTACACGTCTAACAATAAAAGGATTAAATATATAACTGTAAATCTTTTTGAAAATCATCCCGCAACAAGATTCATCGGCTGTTCAATAGACAGAAAAAATTTGTAATTCTTAAATATGCAGTAAGCCATTATAAAACAAAGAAATATGTACATACACACAAGAGATATGTACATACACACAAGTAATTATCATGATAATACTTAAACAATTTCTTTTTAACACTTAAAACTGTAGTTATATAGTTGCAATAACTCCATAAATAGTTTTTATCATAATAAATGTACGTTAATTAATATTATGTAATTTTCTTTCTCTCTTTCCCTTTCACTTTAATTTATAATTAATTTTATGTTCATAGATTCGAGAAAATATATTAACGATTTTAAAACTTGAAGAAATGTCATAGAAGCAAATAAATATATTATCTACTATGTCAAATATTGTCTTATAAATATCTACGAAATGTCTATCACTATAAAATAAAATAAACATATCTAATCTAATAAAAATATGTAAAATCGTGTGCGTGGCGAGATTATTTTCATATTTAAATATTCTCATTTCTCGGAAGAAGGAATATTAATGCATTGCAGCTATCTGCTATCACTATGTATTATTTTTATTTTGCAGTAATGTTTTCTAACGTATAAACATTAATATAGTTACTACATACAGAATCACATCTTTATAACATAATCTTCAGATTCTATAAAATTGATCGCGAAATCTTTTGTTACTGCTTGAAAATGAGATTATTCACGAACATTATATTGATAATATAATGATACCATAAATAATATTGACCGATCAGTAGAATTCTATCTAGAATTTGTTAGAAAGAAGTGAATAAATCATGCTAAATCGAGCTTACAGATCATGTTACAAATATCTTTCTGACGAGGCATAATTTTGCTTTCTAAGCATCTTTTGGCATATCAAGATTGATATTTGTTGCGTATGCAAATCTGTATAGCATATGCAGTTTCTCAAATGTCATGGTAAAATCAGTTAATAAACCAGTTTTCCTGTTTGTAACGAACGGCTCACGCAATTAGAAGAATATAAATATTAGGCTCGCGAAGACTGTTTTTGTGTTCAAACCTAGCAAACAAGTTTGTGAATCAAGAAAAAAATTACGGACATTCGAAAAAACTAATAAAGATTAATAAGAAAAATACAATAAAACGAAAAAACTCTGATATATAAATATAATTCAGGCAGGAAACAGACTAATAAGAGCTCTAGACGCTAATCTTTCTTATTATAAGACTCATAAATCTTTTTAATCGATCTACTGAAAATAGTCCAAAGAAAAGCCGAACCGTTTAATTAAAATATGTTTTCTGCTTCAATTTGTTTGAGAAAGAAAAAATTGACAAAAATTTCGAACGTTAGAGATGCGAAATGACGAATTGATAGATAGGAACTCTCTCTATCTACTTATTTCCGTACATTTTTCTTCACCCTTATACTTAAATATAACATTCATTTACTTATTATATTTTGTTTGCGTCTATCACGGATTGTATCTATCTTTCATAGAGACGTAATTCTAATAGTTTTGCTTATCAACATTCATATTTTTCAATTATTGCTGATTAGTTGTTTCTAATAAACGTAGTTTCTCGTTTATTCGATGATTGTATAAAATTGTTATTTTTTTCCTCTATTATGCAATCGGAAGAATATAAATTATAGCTCCTGCAACGAATAGACTACAAAGTAAATTTGCTAGAACCGGAGGCGAAATCGAAAACAGTGAAAGCAAAGAGAATAAAAACTCGAAACATTTGTTTTAAATAAAATCAACGAACCAAATTTTGAGCAAGTGAAATGTTTATAATAAATACAAGAGGAAATTACGATTTAAAATAATTAAAAAACCAGCAATAATTATTTGAATTTCCATCTTTCAACGTTTTTTTATCATTTTCCTATCTTTGGGACATTGAACAAAAATGAAATTTCTCATGAAAATTCTGTTCATAAGTGTGATATTTGTGGCCAATGTAATTCTATTTGGAGTATTTCAGGAAATGTCGGTTATCGATAAAGCAGAGTCTCCAGAAATGATAATAATTATACCGGATAGAAACACTTCTTGTCCGCCAGAACAACAAAAAGATCAATATGGAAGATGTCGTCAAATCCTTTAGCCTACTAGAAATATATATGCAAGGTAATAGTTGAATATATAAAATCCAAATGTAGTTATGTCTACGCTTTATAAAATTGTCAGTTTCATGAGGTCATATTTTTAATTCTTTAATTATCGGTCTTTTCCTCATCTGCATTTAAATATAATACTGATTTATTCGTCACATCTTATTCGCGCTATGGATTGCAACTTTCTTCTATAATTCCATTTTTCCAATTACTCATTACGCTTACGTAATCGACGGAATATATGATAGCCGCGCAAACAGAATTGCAGAGTTCATTTGCTACTTGCAATCGAACCGAACGAAGTCGAAATCAATAACATCGTGAATCTTTAAAGAAAAGAGTAAAAATTCGGAGAAATAAAAAAAATAAATAGATAAGTGATAAACAAAAAAAGTTTAAATGAATAAAAAAGAAATTAATAAAATTTGAAATTATCAGAAAACAGACGATTGAGAAATAAAAACAAGTAATATTCGATCTTCACTTTTTCCATGTTTTTATTATTTAAAGCATCGCCAGTTTTGTGGATATTGTTAAAAAATGAAATTTTATGTGAACATTTTAATATAATTGTGATATTGGCGGTGACTGTAATTGCACCTGAAGCTTGTCAAGAGCCGTCAGTAGATGAGATATTGACAAATGAAATATCAACAAATAAAACAGTAACTTTAATTTTAATTGACGGAATTCAAAGGAGTATCATAGTTATTCCGGATAGAAATGCCTTATTTTGTGCAGAGAAACTTTCAAAAGAAAAATTGGTTTTCTCTTTATATTCAAATGTAATCGTCTCGTGGAAGAGAATGTTTATTCATTACATTTCATCTGCTGTGAGTTTCATAAAGACGTGATCATATGGTATATCTTTTACGGATCTCATAGCATCTCAAGGTTGATGTATATAAATAAGTAAATTTGTAGAATAATAATTTTTTGAAAGGTGTTCTTGTAACATTCCGTGAATTTATTAATAAACCAGTTTTCCCACTTTAATTACGAAAGAATATAAATAGAAAAGAATATAAAGACAGACCAATATCGGAGAGATTGCAGAGTTTATCTTTTAGAATTGGACGACGAATCAGTAATCTAACAAATACTACAAAATTTGTAATTCAAAAAAGTTCATAATATAATAGTATTTGACAAAAAATATCGAGTAAAATCTCGAGTAGATTAATTTTTTTTGCGTACAGCAGGAGGTTAAGAAGATTTTAAATAATTAGAAGAAAAACTATCTGAAAACAGATAGAAATAAAAAATATACGATATTTTAAGCTTTGATTTTCCAACTTCTTTATTATTTAAAAAATCAAGAGGCATTGCTTATCAAGAATGAAATTTCTCATTCATATTTTGATAATCGCGATATTGGCGGTTATTGTAATTCCATCTGGAGTTTGTCAAGCGAAAACATTGAAAAATGAAGCACCAAATGAAACAATGGATGAAACCTCGACATATCAAACATCGACACATGAAACATGAAACGAAATATGGAACGTACCTCGTTTACAACAACAGAATATTATAGTTATCCAGTCATGTTTGTCCGGAGGATAAAAAAAATAATCATAAAAAATTTCGCCAAATCCTTTAATATTATATAGTGCAAGATAATTTAACATGGAAAATTTAACTCTGCTTTATACACGGTTGGACGAATCGCACGTGAACAGGACGATATTTCATATTGAAAAATAACATTTCAATTTTCTTTTATTAAAATTTAATTGTAGGTCATATCTTTTTGATAGCTACTGCAATATTATAAATTCGATATTTATATATGTTTAAAAAAGAAAAAATCTATCAAAATCTAACTAAAAATTCGCCAAATATCTTCAATTTTAATCGTTAATATCAAATTTTAATATAATGAAAATTTAAATTAAAGTTAAATTAAAAAAATGTTTATGATATTTTATTCAAACAAATTTATTTTAAATTTAAATAATAAAAAAATTGCAAAGCAATTTTTTCTTTCGAGCAGTGACACTCGCGTCACTCTACAATTTTCATGTTGTCATTCTTCTCGTAACTAGTTCATTTTCACAATCTCTCTTTTTTTCAATATACAAAGAGTTAATTAAGATATTTCTTTAAAAAGAGAGATGAATTTACATATATAATCACAGTGTAAAATATAGCAACCTATAAAAAAATATAAGTACGTAAATTGCTAGTAATATTGTATATATTAATCTTCAAGTCTGTCATTTATTCAGTCTTTATTTGATAAAAAACCTGAGTCGAAAAATTGGTTTAAAAATATGTATACATTTAAATTCTCATAATTTCGCGATAATTTAGAAATGAATTTAAAAAGAATAACATGTACGTTTGAAAGATCCATCCAATATTTGCCTCTCTCAAGAGTAACAAATCAAAGTATCACTCTTGCTAAAAGAAAAAAAGCACTGCTATTTCCTCTGTATGCGCGAAAACGTTCCTATACGCTACTGAGAATCTCATTTTCAAGGAGGAATGTGAAACCGCTATGATTTTTCTTTTCTTCTACCGAATATTTCAACTATTTTCATATTCACGCGCAAGAAGTTTCTCTGGTTCGACGAAGTTCAACGATTTCGAACGAGATGGAAAGAGAACACGATGAGCGATTCCGCGAATGGGTCGACCCGGTCGATGCGGATCTTCAGAAAATTCGCGCTAGTTACGACAGTTTGTTACGAAGCAACTTCGCCGTACTAATATCGACAAGGTTCGCGTCCGCGGGCAAGTTAGTATAACTTTAGTGTAACTTTCCACCCACTCACTTGTTGCCACCCTCTTGTATACAAGCAAGAGCGGCGCGGCGAACGGACAGACTATCATTAGGGTGGGCTACATAATGCTACCGCTATGCGGTTGCACGTTGCACGATGTGCACCTTTTGTGCTCTCTCTCTCTCTCTCTCTTCCCTCTATATACTCTCGCCACGTTCGGTTTCGCCGATTCTCAAAGGCAAACATGATCGCGAACTTCTCGTATACACTTCCTCGTCACGAAATGACATAGCTCCCCAACTGTGTAAACGTGTCCGGTGTGAGCGACCTTAAGTTTAAATGCCTATTCCTCTGTTTATATTAATCATGTGTGTGTATATGATTGCAAAACTTTTGCAATTAATATAATTCAAGAAAAATTATTCGAATTAAATTGTATACTTTTTCAAATAGAAATAAGTATATCATATTTGCATTAAATGTTCACGTCACGGGCAAATGTGCAAAATGCAAAGTGTAAGCAATATATTTTGGAAAATATATATATTAATCATGTGTATGTATATGATTGCAAAACTTTTGCAATTAATATAATTCAAAAAAAATTATCCGAATTAAATTGTATACTTTTTCAAATAGAAATAAGTATATCATATTTGCATTAAATGTTCACGTCACGGGCAAATGTGCAAAATGCAAAGTGTAAGCAATATATTTTGGAAAATATGTGACATTTTACTTCAGTTTAAATGCCTATTTCTCTGTTTATATTAATCGTGTGTGTGTATGATTTCAAAACTTTTAATGTTTCATAAACAATTAATATAATTTGAGAAACATTATCCTCATTAAATTGTATACTTTTATAAATAGAAATAAATATATAACATTTGCATAAAATAATGTTATGTGTTCATTCACATATGTATCAAAAAGTAATTTTTCAATAAAAGCTAATGATAATAAATAATTATTTTTGTCAATTGTGAGATTTTCATAGAGTTTATATGTAGGATAAAGTTAATATCTCGCTCTTTGAAATTTAAAACGTGATTGATTATAAATTCAATTTATCATAATAATGTTATCGTAATTTCGCCTTATATATTTAAAGATAAAGAATTTTGCGATATTAAGCAGACAGACGATACGTATATAAGACGCTTTTCTTTGGAAAGCGGACTCTTCTACGAAAAAAGAAAGAGAAATGTAAGCTTCTCTACTTCTTTATCAACTATGTATAAGTACAATACTTCGCAAGAGCTTCAGGATAATAAATACATATAATAACAAACAGATTTAGTAAAAAAATATTGTTTTCAAGCTGGACACAAATTAAATAAATAAAATATAAATATGAAAAAAAATATGCGTATAGTGATAAAAAAATATCAATATGCAAAAAAAATTATATGTATATCTTTTTTCTCCTTTTTCTATCTATAACAATTTTTATCGTGACAAACTGTTATCTTTAATTGATCCTTTCTTATTGCAACACACATGTTGCATTTTTAAATTTTTATTAAATTTGTATTAAACTGTAGATTATCATACATTTATCGATTAATATCCAATGACTATGAAATATGAAATTTATATACAATATACATTAATTTACTATTTCGTAAAGTTTATTGAAAAAAAACTTGAACAATATTTTTGAAAAAATAAAAAACAATATTTTTTTTTAAATATCTGTCAAAAAAATATCAATTTTTAAAAATCATGATAAAACTGGCAAGTTAGTTGATACATTATTAGTTAGGGACAACCTGTATATCGCGCAAATCTCCCTCGAGAACTTATTACGTTTAAAATATCGGTACATCACGTCAGATTTTCTTCCTTTTTATCCTATTTTTCTTCCTTTTTTTTAATTTATCAACGAAAAGGACATCGCCATTAAAGCGCGGTTGGAAAAATGATACCTTTTTAATTTTTGCAGTAAAATGGAGCATCGAGCAACGTAACTGGATATTATCCGATTCTTAAATTAACGGCGTCATTAAAAATAATGCAATGTGGATATGTGTGTGATTCTTGATATTGTTTTTCTCTTTTTATATTGTGGCAATACCTGTGTTTCATTACGCAAGCGGTGCCAATCTGCCGATCAAATTTACGTCGCAATTACGATCAAATTGACATTGGACCTATAAAACGGACGGTTACAAATGGTACGAGAAAATCAATAGTAACCGGAAGAATTGCGATACTTTTATAATTAAGCTGAACACAGATTGATTTGTAAGGAAAGAGAAATTTGGAAAATTCTCTTATAATAAACTCTCGTATTATCAAATTAATGAAAGGAAACATTAATTACCGTTGCTACAATTAATTACTTCCTTCCATTGTAACGATATAATTTAAGCATTTCCACTGTTAAATAAATCCTGCAGATTGTCAGTCTTTTTAATCTCGGACTCTTTTATTAGCGACTTTTATTTTATTAGCGACAAAAAAAAAGCTGATGAAATGATCTGGCATTCATGCAAAATACGATACTGAAAATACATTATTTAGAATCTCCGATTTCCTCGAAAACTTTGATGTTTGAATTTTTAGATCTTTCAAATAAATCTTTAATTTTTGGAAGATTATCTATTTTATCTCATACACTCCGTGGGATTTTTCTATTTAAGAGCTCTTAGATTCAAATCTCTCGAAAATGATAAATAGACAACGAAAGTTCTTAATTCACGAGTAGTAATGCGTTTATAATAGTGAGTGGCACTTAATTGAGACGCAACGTGCTCATAAATTCCCTTTATGTCCAATTTTTCTACATGAAGAGAGATTAAAGATTGATGGATTCCCTAACATTTCCATAACAATAGAGCTGACAATACAATCAATTGATGGAAATTCGAAATTATTCATTACACATCTGATATTTATATCGCATAACTACATATTCTCGTATATAGCCAAATAAACAAGTAAACAAATATTTCATATAAATATGTATATGTACACATGTGTATATAAGATCTTTTGTCCTCTTCCCGGAAAACAATTTTTTATATATAATTATATATAAATAATTGTATAATTATACATATAATCGTAAAATTATATGTGAAATATGTTTATTTTTATACATAATTATATAAATTTATATATAAATTATAAGGGTTCATATATATAATCACGTCAAATTATATATGAAACATATATTTATACATATGAAGAAATACTTATTAATTATATATAAAAAGCACTTTTATCTAATTATGTATGGACATATTTATATATAATTTTTCGATTATACATATGTATAATTTTATATATTTCTATATAATTTTATATTGTTATACATAAAAAATTGTGTACCGGGTTTGATTCGAGAACCGAATCGATGCTATTTTGTGTAATGAAAATGTGAAATTACGTAAAGGTGAAAGGGTTGCATAAAAATGCAGACGCGTATATAAAGTATAAAAATGACGTCGCCCTCTCTCTGGCGGCCGACCAAAAGTAATTAAGTAAGTCGCGCGCGCTTAACGGCGCAAAAAAAAAGGGTGGGTTCGTACTCACTTAAAGAAGTAGGTGTCGTTGACATATCCGAAGAAGGGTACTGTGTAGGTCAGCATCCAGATATTACCACCTCCGCAGTCGTAATACGGTTTCGACCACCTGCCATCCTCGTATTTCACTGTCAGGATTTCGTCCTCCTCCCTTTCCGTGTGCACGCTCTCGTTGAACGTATAGGTGTGGAATCCTGGGGACAGAGAACCCATTAAATAGGTCGAGTCTATTCCTTACCCCGAAATTTAATTAAACGATCCGTATTCCATAATGGCGATCTAACTCCTATATATATATATATATATATATATATATATATATATAGGAGTTATATATATATATGCCTACTTGATTAATTAATATTTTAATTCAACATATATCGAAATTAATTTGTACTAATACTCATTGGCGGTATATATAAATTAATTGATACGTCATATAGTATAACGTAGAATCAAAAATTAATTGCGGCACATTAAATCAAAAATTAATTACACTGCAGATATTGAAATTTACCCTCGATTATTCCCATACTCTCTTTGTATCGTTTATTATCCATTGGCTTTCAATGATTCTATTATTATTTTGAGAACAATTTAATAATAATTATTCATTTGAATTATCCATAGATTGGAAAACTAATGTAAAACAATACAAAAATGTTTTTTTAGAGTTTAGAGAGAGAAAAATGAGCATATATTATGCCATTTTTCCTCTAATTTATTATTAATTATAATTATTATTAATTATGAATTATTAATTATTATATTATTTACTATTAATTAGCGCTAAAACTTCTCACAAAGGTGCTCTTCTGAACAAACTTGGAAGCTATCTCTTTCTTTTATAGAAAGTATTTGAATTAATTTTCTCAAAAAGAAACTATCTTTCCTTTATTTCTACTTTCGCAACTATTCGTCGAGACAAAGTTTCCTCAAGTTAATCTCCGAGGATTTAGACATCCAGGCTCCCCGGAAGTCTGTGTGTAGGGTTTTCCGAGTAAGATTCTGGTAATTCAAGGATCTAACAATAGGAGTCGAGACTCCGAGACACGTAACTTTATCCAACTGCAGTATGTGCACACCGTGGAGAGATATTAGGGACTCTATAGGGTATAAACATATATATATATATATATATATATATATATATATATATACACACATATAAGATAGGATAAAAAGAGAGAGAGAGAGAGAGAGATAAGGTGCCGCGAGAAATCGTCTCCGAGCAGATAAAGAAAACGAGCTTGGTCGTATCTGTTTTTCCGTCGACTTGTTACTCGCCTTTTCGCCCTTTCCTTCTTCCGGTCACGGCTAAATTTTCCTCCCCGCGCGAAAAAATTGCTGAGTTTTATCGAGCATGATCCGCGCTTAAATGTGAGAAACGTTATTTCCCCAATCTTCCTTGTATCGCGTGGACGATGATCGTCGTTTCCACCGCCGTTCCTTATTTTCTTTTTATTCATATAATATACGCGTCAACCGGAAGTGTACTACTAACCTCCCGCAGGGTGTTTCACACGGTCGTAAATAAATTTTTTCCTGCTTTATTTCCTTTTCCGCAAAATAACGTCTCCCTATATTCCCAGAAGTCACAAAGCGTCAGATTAGATTAAAAATAACAGAAACTCGCTGTCGCAGTCAAGACTAATGCAATTATACGCATGGTCTCTCATAAATATTTATTAAAGCGGATCGCAAATAACAAAACCCGCATATATAATTAGCATATAGAAATTCGAGTTGCCAGTTTAAATAAATAGACCTCTTCTCTTACATTATATAGCATAATTAGCGAGAGTATAATTAGCGAATTAAAAATTGATACAAGCCAGTTACAGTAATTATAATTATTCATAGTATAACTCGTACTTTCTGTTTATACTTTTTACATATATTTAACACAATTATATCTTTTTTTTACAAAAAAAAATATTGTTTCGCTAGTCGTCCACGTCTTGTTACACGCAGTTAAAAATGTAGAAAGAAATATGAGAGAAAAGGAAGAAACGAGAATATTATCTACGATGTGAAGCAAGAATATTGCACATCTTTTCTCATATAAACGTTTTACTTAACGCAATTGTTCATCTTTTATCTAACTCGATTATTTACATTTAGAGGACATCTGCATTTTATAACCCATATGCTACACCCAAAACAAGATAAAGATATATGACCAGGAGACACAGCAGTTATGTCACAGTTAAAATATGACAAAGTACGTCTCTCGAAGAACCATAAAATAAAAATGTAAAACGAGATATGTGTACGTATCTAAATATATCATTTGTATATCCCTAGATGAATTTTCTTGTAATATAAATTAATAAGCGAGGGTCACCGAAGATAAGATAACTGCATTTTATATGAAAGCAATCCCGACGGTGGCGCTCTTAATTAAAGTCTTAATCGAAACACGTTTCTTCCCAATTAAACAAAAAAAAATGAAAAAGAGCGACCTGATACGGCGCCAAGTTCTCTTTTTTCTTCTGCCCATTTCTCGTCCCTTTAGTTCTCATTCCTTCCCCGTCCTGTGCCTAAGCCACGAAATCCCAGTCTGATTTATCCGACAGTAATTTTTCTTTTAACATAGATCCTCTCGAAATCTGTTTAGAAAATTGATATATTATATTAATTAACCGCCGTCATGACAATGGCAGTCAAAGTCACTTGAATTGTCAAATATCCTTTTGACCATTTAAATTCAGATCCTCAGAATCGAAAAATTTATTTTTATTTTAGGGAATTTTATTTCACAAATGTAACAAATTTAATTAAATTTATTTCAAATAATTAAAATCATTTTCTGTCATCAAAATATACCGTCGTAGATACAAATCTTTCTTCATTTAATTCGATAAGTTATAGGAATATAACTATATGAAAATTTTAAAAATTCAATTAGATTTTGATCAAATTTCTATGTCAAATGTATATAATAAAGTTCTTACAAATTGAACAATATATATACATATAAAAATATTAATAGAAATTGGAATTTTTACTTTAGAATGGTTAAAAGGATTCAAAGAAGATCGGAAAAAGTCACATGGAAAGGCGAAGGGAGAAAAACACCAAAAGATTTATTGACATAGAAAAATATTCAATTTGATTTCAGGTCAGCTCCAATGTACCATTAAAGTTGGCAAAGACGGAGCAAGGATAAAGAAAGCAGAAGAGAAGTACCTTAAAGGGCCAACTGGAGAGAGAGAGAGAGAGAGAGCAAAATTAAATAAATAAAATTCTTTTACAGCGCATGTTAGATAGATCAAATTACTTATTTCATTTCCTGTATGTCTTTTTACAGCCCGTTTGCGCAGTTTCTTTATACTGCAAGTTTTCTACCGTTTTGTAAGATGGGAGATCTATATCTCATAACATTTTCTTTCAATATCTTGAAAGATATTGATAAAAATACGTAACTTTGTATAAAGTATATTATCGATTTTTTGATGTACGTTCTATTGTTACGTTTATCTTTCTTCTTCTAAATTCCGAACCTTTAACTTTAACTTGATAAATTCACATGTTCACAGAAATTATATACCAAAATACGATACGCTTGACTCTCCAGATTCCAGATATTTATGCATATATATTCTTCGAATTCTTAAGATCCTTCGAATTTGACATTCTTGAAATATTTTTCGCAAGCTTAAATTTTTGATATTTTAAATTGTCGGTTCTTTTTCCAGTGAAATTCTTAAAAATTCTTTCGACGATATTTAACAATATTTTGTACAATTTAAAATTAATCCAACTTTCGCAGACGATAGCATTTAAGACTAGCGACTAAATGTTACAGCAGATAAGAAAATAGAGATAAAAGTTTCCGTTAAGAAAATAATCTTTAAATTACTTCGAGAAATATTGAGCGCGACAGATGGGTATTTTAACTTTTTAGACAATCTTACAACTTGAACATTTATTACGCCGGAGCCATTCGTCTTGGCAATAATAATTCGTTATCGACATGCAGAAGTTTGGGGTGTCGATATTTGATTCGCGTCTTAAAACTCTCGAGAGGAAACTGTCCGATTGAACTGATCACGCTTAAAACTTCCTTATTGAAAGCTTTCAAGCTCGGTTATTGCTGTTATATATTGCTTTTATATCTTCGGTAATAAAGTATATTTGTTTTCAACATTTCAATAACACGTATTTGACATATACGCTATTGCTACTATTACTATTACATTTGGCCGCTGCCCTTTTATTAACCTACAACAGTCAGTTATATCATATAACGTTCATTATAATTTCACCGAAATTGCTTGTTTATTTCACGTCTCCCATATAGGCGCATGTGTGATATTTACACATGTGTATATATAAAGTATTATATTCGAAAATATGCAAAATTCGCGCGCTCCAGGATGTGTGACATTGTAGAAACATTACATAGCATGCGGGCATCGAATACTAATAACGCATGGAACATAATATATATTATGCAATTTCTATATCATTAGTTTCCGGATTTATTGAAGCTACTTGCCGGCATATTTGACACTTTGGTAGTTTCGCTCTAATCGGTGGCGATTAAAACCCTTTCCCGCATTCCACCCTCTAGAAAAAGGCTGCGCGAAACAGGTCTCTTTAAAAGAACCGGAGTCGTCCTCCTTTCTCATCGTTGCTCGTTCAAGTGTCATCCATTGTTTCTTACGTCATCGAGAGGCTTTTCGCGAGCTTTCATCCGCGCGTTACGAAACGCGACAAGAGAGATCCGCGATAGAATATCGCACCGTATCGATGGATATCCATCTCGGATATCATTCGAGACTTGTCGAGAAAATGTTCTGTCGTCGAAGGAGCTTTTCACGAGAAGAAGTCTATGGACCGAGGAGAGTATATAACATAACGTTTATCATTCTATAATAAATAAATGAAATTAAGAGTGATTCTGGGAATAAAGATGTCATCGAAAGCTGTATATACATGAGTGACATATATCAGAGGAATTTGCGTGTGAATTATTCACGATATTTTGATGCGCATTTATGTATATTTTAATCACCCCTAAATATATGCCTTTTTTATGCATTCATAATTTAGAGTACATTTTCTCTTTGTCGTTTATATAAATATTTAGAGCTGTTTTGATACCTTAAAATGAACTGTAGTAGTAGCTTTCATAGTTAATATGGTGCAAAGATTGTAAAGGAGGTTATAAAAACTAATGGCTTGT